CAGCCAGACTGGAGTTTGAATTCGAGCTCCACTTACTTTCCAATTTTGTGGTCAGGAGCAAGGTACTTTATCTCTCTGGGCCTCAGTTTCCTCATCTGTATAATGAGGATGATGCCATGTCTCTTACAGAACTAGAGCGGAACTGAGGATTAGAGGAGATCATGAGCCAGATCTGTTCACCCCCCCCTTTTCCCCAGGGGCTTTTTCAGCTAATAGGGCTTGACTTAGTTTGAGCATTGGGGTGGGAGGAGGTATGGTACCACCCAGGCTTGGGTGTCAGACCTCCATGGAGTCCTGGCCCTGCCAATGACTATGTGTGGGTAAGTCACTGAACCCAGCTGAGCCTCCATTCTCCACCCATGAAATGGAAGTAATATCATCTGCCCCCCATTAATGGGCTAATGACATCATAATGACATCACTGGTGTGCCTGGTTTGCAGTCTTTGGGCAAACCCGGTGTGGGCGTTTCTTGTATGGGTGCAAGTGCTGGGGCACTGGAAGCAGAATTCAAAGTTAATGGGCAGCCACTAGGAGCAGACCATCTTTGCTGCCCCCAGCCTGGGGCCTTGGCCCATGCCCCTGCTTCCTCGCTCTAGACCCAAATCCTTGGATGTACCTGGAGAATCTGCTCCGGCATGCCTGGGCATGGCCTCTGGCTTCACACCTACACATCTCGCACTTCCCAGTTCGGACTCATTAGAAAGGGAATCTGATGGGCCTGCTCACCTTTTCACTCTGAAGAGGCTGCGAGTCAGCTTGCGATGGGTCTGGGGCACACCCGTGGCTCTGTCGGCTGTGCCAGTGTCAGTTGGTACAAACCGTGATATCTTGGGAAGCAGGACCTCTGGCACTCCACATTCCCCTTCATTTCAGAGATGCCACAGGTTGTAAAGGGAAACAAGAGTATTCCTGGCCCAGGTGTTCTCAGACCACAGAAGTAGGTCTGTGGCTGCGCCAAGCGTTTCCCAGCCCCAAGCCCTTTGCCGGGGTTGGTGAGCTAGACAGCTGCATTACGACCTGGCTGAGGTCAGGATCTCAGCTCACCGAACCTTACCCCTTTTGTAGTCAGCAGGAAGGTCAAAGCAGATTTGGAATAACTTAGAAAATAAAAAGTGAGGTGCAGCTCCTGTGTAGGAAATATTAGCATTATTTTTTGCAAAAGAAGATTACCTTTTACTTTCAAGTTTCAGCTGACTGACAAGCCTGGTTCTAGCCACATGATTCCAATTTCCTTTTGGGAGAGGTCTCTTCAGTTTCTGGGAGGCCTGTCGGGACTATGGCCCTGAGAGAACATAGGGGCCCCCGGGAAGGACCCAGTGTGGCTCAGAGCCAGCCTTGGCCACAGGGACAACTGGTTTCTTACTTCCTTGGAACAACTTAGCAAATTTGCTCTGTGACCTTAACAGATGAAGGAAATCTCTATTAACGGTGTGATTCCCTGACTTGCCAAAGATGTCCCTGGAACTGCAGAGGGACAGGGTGAAGGCACAGGACGATCGTGGTCCTGGATCCAGAGCCTCGGTGGGAGGGTTGGCCCTGGGGACCAGGAGCCACAAGAAAGGGAGGGGTAAGGGCAGGGCCCATCAGCGGTGTCTTAACACTGGCTGCAGCTTGAAGACCAGTCACCTGAGAGCCTTTAAAAGCCTGAAGCTGAACAAATGCCCAGCTTATGACCCAGCAATTCCAACCCCAAGTGTTTACCCACAGAAATGAATGCCTGTGTCCACAAGACAGGCCCTAGAATGTTCATTGCAGCATTTTTGTGACAGGCAGAAACTGGACACTGCCCAGGTGCCTATCAATAGTAAAATGGATAAATCAGTTGTAGGATGTCCATAGAATGGAATCCTAAACCCTAGTGAAATGCAGTTTAAGACTACATGCAACACTGGGTGAAGGTCACCCAGTTATCGAGTAAAAGAAGCCACAAAAAAGAGCACATATGGTCTGACTCCATTCAAAGAAAGTCCCCAAGAGGCAAAGGCCGTCCGTGCTGATGGTTCTCCCTGAGGGTGGGCGTGGGACTGGGCAGTGAGACTGGAAGGAACAGGAGCGGCTTCGGGGAGCTGGTTTCCAGGCAAGTTCCGTTTGTGAAATGCATTGAATTGTACACTTACTTTCCGTGTACTTTTCTATATGTAAACTACACTTCCAATAACACACTAAAAATACATAGTCACCTACATGTTACCCCCAGAGCTTCTGATTTAGTTGGTCTGAGACACAGCTCAGGCATCATTTTTTTATTCTTTTAGAAAGCTCTACAAGTGATTTTAACGTGTCCCCAGCAGGCCACACATTATAGTTAACAGGACAATCTCTATTCTCTGAAGTAGATGGTGAGTTGTGTGCTGAGTGAGAGGCAGAGGTGGGTGAGATGGGCAGAACCAGGGTTGGGGGGGACTTGGAGCAACACCGAGTCCAGGCCATTGAGCCCCAGTTCCTTCCAGGACAGGTGTCCGCTCAGCTCCCTGTCCCTAGATGGCTGTTTCCGTGGTCTCTGGGTTTGTGCTCTCCAGTGCCTATGCGAAGATGTGTTTCTTGTTTGGAAGAGAAAGTCTCTCCTTGGAGCTCCCTGGGGCCCAGTGTCCTGGCTGACTGCAGGCGAACGTGGAGCTGTCCCTGGGCTGGCCTTGAGAAGGGCTGGCAGGACCCATGGATGCTCTAGCATGTCACATGTCCTCGAGAAGTCCTTGAGAGAGTGTAGACGTCTCCCTGGAGGAGGAGATGCCCAAGGGGACCCCCATGTGATCACAAAGGCCCAGCAGGCTCAGGCTGCGAGGCCTGGCCCGGCTTTCTGCTTCAGTACCAGCCGTGGCGCTGCTTCTGCCAGAGGCCTGGAGGAGCCCTGGAGGGAGGTCTGCCCTGTGGTTGGGATGGGTTGGGTGGGGGGCTGGAGGCTGGGTAAGCTAGAGTAGTGTTGCCTGGGCGTGCCAGAGCCCAGGGGAGTACAGCTAAGTGAACAGTGTCATGTGGGCCCAGGGGCCCAGCCTGTGCTGTCTCCCAAATCCCCCCTCCCATCCTGTCTGGGCCACTTTAGCCTCTTCTGTATGTCGTCTGCCTCCCACCCGAGCCTCCCCCTTTGATCAGTCACCCACGTGGATTGTGTGCCTGGTGGGCCAGGCCGTCCACCTTTCCCGCAGGCCAGCACTCCTAGAGGGAGGGGCCCACCTGTGTGTGACCCCTTCAGCCCCTGTTCACCCTCCCCCTTCCCGCTGGGAGTCAGCCATTTTCTGGGCCCCTTCACTTTTACTGCCTTGGTTTTTCCTCCTCTCCTCCCTCTTAGTGTGTCACCGTCTCCCTTTCTCTGCCTCTCCTTCACTCATTCATATAACAAACACTGGGTGCCTGCCGTGTGCTGGGAAGACAGAGATGTTGAAGACATGCCCCTGGGAGACCTCATAACCCACTGGGGGACACAGATGTATAAAAAGACAAGCACAATCTGGTGTGGTAAGTGCTGGGGCAGCAGCATAAAACGGGCAAGGGACCACAGAGGAGGGACTGACCAGCTAGCTCTGCAGAGGGAAACCAGGGAAGGCTTCACAAAGGAGGTGCCCTTTGAACTGGGGAATTCCCCGGGGAGATAAGCCGGGGAAGGATTCCAGGTAGCAAACGTACAGGTGTGAAGGGTTACTGTGGGAGGCAGGAAGCAGAGGGGTGCAGCAGAGCTGCAGGGCTGACCCTGGAAAGGGAAACAGGAAGGTCGGGAAGGCCCGCTGAGGAGGCAAGAGGGAACGAAAGGAGGAGGGAGACTCAGCAGGAGAGGGGCCTGATCAGATCCGGGCCGCAGATGGCTCTGTTGGTAATGTTGATGCCGCAGAGGGCAGGTGTTTAAGGGCAGGGCTGCAGGAGGTTCAGTTAGGAAGGAAAAGATGATGAAGGCCGGGGCTTGTGTGGTGCAGTGGGAATGGAGAAAGCAGAGGGTATTGTGGGTGAAGCAATGGGAAGGCTCCGGGGCCTTGGGGATTGATTGGTTGGGCAGCGGGGAGAGGAATGAGTGGGAGACTCTGGCTCGGGTCACTGTGGAGGACGGAGCTTTTTGGGGATACCGGTTGCTCAGAAGCGAGCAGGTTGGCTATGCCTAGATGGCAGGGCCGAGGTGTCAGGGTCAGAGGTGCAAATGTGGGGTGTCTGCGTGGGGGGGCATCCAGAGCAGAGTGCATGTATTGAGAGTCTGGGGGTCCTGGTCCATGAGGTCTGTGGGAGGCGGCTTGACTTCATCTCTGGGTTCCCTGCTCACCACCTCGCTCCCTCTCCTGTTCCTTCTGTGTTTCCCCTTTCTTGACGGGTCTGGCTCCCCTACTGACATCTCCTGCCCATCCCTGCCCTCTCAGCAGTGTGATAAGCTCAGTAAGTGTTTACAGAAGGAATGGGCAGGTGACATTGGCCAGTAAGGCTGGAGGGCAGAGCAGGCACCTGCTGTGTCCCCTGGATAGGCACCCAGGCTCAGCAGGGTGAAAGGGTCTCACTTGAGGAGGTTTACAACCTTTTCTACCTCCTTTAATGTCCAAATACTGGGCCTCCCCTGCTCCATCCCCCTCATGACAATAATGATATTTTTTGTGGTTTTGATTGGAAAATTAAATATGGATTTGAGGACCCCTGGTATTATTAACGCCACAGTCTGCATGTGGAGGTTGGATGGAGATGGATGGGCAGGGGGTGTCGTCCACAGCCCACAGATAAGAGCAACTCGCTGGAGGACATCTATGCAGGAATGGGCAGAGGCTGCCACAGGGTCAGGGGACCAAGGTAGTTCCCCACACTCCAGCTCCTTCGGGGCCCTCTGGATGGGGCCCAGTTGGTAGCGGGGTGCCCCATCCCCCTCACCCCCCGGGCTGGTTCTGCTGGTGAATGCTTTATGACCACCCGGTCCCAGACCTTTTCACTTGGCGTTGCTCCCATTCCTTTATTTTCACACATCTAAACAAACCAATGCTATAGGGGAGAAGACTAATTAGTAGAAAGTGTGAATTGAAGGTAATTTTGAAAGCAGTGTGTTTCAGCCACGGCAGTGTCCCTAGATCCGCAGCCTTATCAGGACAGCTGAGGGGCTGATCTAATGGATGGACATGGAGGAATGACTTACAACTACCCTACTGATCACAAGCAAAGGGGCTGCTTTCAGTGTGAAGGTATTTGAAAGTTGTGTGTCCCCACGTGAGCCCCATTTCTTGCTGTGCTTTTCTTCATGGAGACGCTGTGGGAAGGTACACGGCCTTCTTTTGTTACTCTCCTGGTCCGTCGTTCCCCCAGCCTCTGCTCTTGTCCTTGCTTACACGGTCTCCTCCCGGTCCTTCCTCACACGTGTCGAGAGTACCTGTGGCACACTGGTGTCCAAGCTCAGGGGGTTCAGTGATGGAGGAGGCAGAGTCCCTGATGTTCTGAAGCCCCTGGAGGTGGACAGTTTGAGCTCACTGACGGCAGGTTGTTGTGGGTGCCCCAGCAGGGGCCCCTCCCTAGGCTGGAGGAGGGTCAAGGGAGGGCTCCCCTCCCGGAGAAAGTCACATTTGGACCTATAGATGAATGGTTTGGAGTCTATGCAAAGGAATGGTTATCCATGCAAGGTTAGATTATGAAATCCATGCAAGATGATAGTCTGTGCCTTTGGTAAGTTTCAGTTTCCTTTTCTCAAGAAGCCCTTTTGTAACTCTTTCATTCCACAAGGATCTAAGTTCCTGCAGCCCTGACAACTCAAATCACACTCTCCAGGGCCCGAGGAACAGTCTGCCTGCCTCTGAAACCCAAGCTCCTTTTCCTTCTCCTTGAGGTCCTGTTTTACCCCCTGGTCTCCAGGCTGGAGGGCTTGTTCCCTAGAGTGGGGCCCATGCCCTTTTTGTCCCCACAGCCCAGTGGGCTCATGGGCTGCAGGGCTCATGACCTCTAAGGGCTCAGTGGTTTAACTTGTACATGCCCTACTGTAGGGGCGTCTCCTATCGAAGCATTCAAAGCAAGTGAGGAACCGAGAGATGGAAGGCATGGATGGAACCTGCCACACAAAAATTAAACAAGTACAGCAACGATACCAGACAAAACTAAAAGGCAAATGACACACTGGGGAAAATACTTGCAGAAATGATAAACCAAGGATTAATATTCTCAATTAAGAATTTATACAAATCAATAAGAAAAAACATGAAGATCCTTATAGACAATTCACAGGTGACACCTGAATGGTTAATATATACTGGGGGAAAAAATGTTCAACATACCAGTAAGGATAAATAGAAATGAAAACAATATATTCTCTCCTATCAAATTTTCAAAGATGAGAAAAAGATCAAACCCAGTGTAGGGTTTGGATGTAAGGGTACGGGGACCTTCACCCCGTGTCGAGGCCTTGTCAATTGGTATAACATCTGGAAAGCATTTTAGAAGTGGGTCTAAAGAGCCTGAGAAGTATTTGTTCTCAATCCACTAATTTCACTTTTGAGAATCTTAGGAATGGATATTGACATGGGGAATTTCTCATAAAAGCATGGTAAGCAACAAAAACAGGGCTTACAAATGAAGTGATATATAATCCCACGCACGTAAATTATATGTTTATCATAACTATATCTTTGGGTAATTTGGGGCAAATTTTTTTCTTACAGGTGATTTTGATCATCATATTTATATATTTTATATTTCTCACATTTCCTAAAATGAGGGGAAAAAAAAACCAGGGGGGGGGGCGAATCCTCTGTGAAATGTGAAATGATAGAACCAAATAAATTCAGAAATTAACTTTCAGAGTCAAAGGGTCAAATCACTAGTACAACCTGTCACTTTGCAAGATTCAGAAAATATATGCTGATGTATATACCAACATGCTCTATAAGGCTAAGACAGAGGTCACCAGGCTACATGGCTGTGGCTGAGCTGATTTTGTGGGTGAGGTCACCTGCCTCCTCTCTGTATGACATTGGGTACAGCCTGTCCCCTGGTAGGTCTCAGTTTCCTAATCTGTACAATGGTATGGTGGGAGGGGGTCAGGCTAAATAATCTCAGAGTCCTGGCAGATCTCTGCTGAGTCTGTAACTGTTCTTGAAGAGGAGAACGTTGACTTGCCTGAGTCACAGAGCTGAGTGACCAGGGATGTAGGCTCCAGGGTCTAGTGCCTCGTCTGTTGAGAGACCGCTGCCCAGGGCCTCGCTTCCTATTCCCGTCACTGTGCTGCCCTGTCTTGTCTCTGCTTCTTGGCCACACCTCCTCCTGTCAGCCCTTGGGCCCAGTCAGTGGGGGGAAGAGGGGGGTAGTTTGACTGCTCAGGCTTTATTGATTTATTCAAGTCTGTCTTTCCTGGAGGGGCAGAAAGGAGGGAACCCTGATGTGTGGATCTGTTTAGTGGAGGCATGAACTCAAAGGTCATTGAGGAGCCCCTCTCCCATGCCCAGGAAGACGGCGTCCCCTCCCTCCAGGGCCCTCTCTTGGGGACATTTTTGAGATGGTTTGGCTCCAAGGCTGAGCTACCCTGAGTGTCCAAAGGCAACCGATGGCGACTTCCTGGTGTGGGCAGCCCCTCCCATCCCAGCACACACAGCCGCTGTGGGCTGCCTGGAGAACTCCCATGCCAGCCCTGATAAGGCTTCCTGTGCTGAGCGTCCTTTCCCAGAACCTGACAATTGACCGTAACGTTGCCTGGGCTCCTCAGAAACTTGCTTTCAGCTGGGAGCAGCTCTCGGAGTCCTCCCTCCCAGTGTGCCTTCTTAAGGGTGGGGCCAGCGGCCTTGGAGGTGGTAGATTGGTTTTCTTCCGGCCCAGGCATACACTGAACCTCGGGCTTATAGGAAAGATAACTTGTGAGACTCTGGCCTGTCGGCTGCCCCAGAGCCCCCCTACCTGAGCTGCTGCCTCCAGACTGTGATGTCTTTGGCCTCACCCTAAAAAGCAGGGCCGTCTAGGGCAGTGGGCAGAGGCAGCTGCCCTGGGCATGGTGGAGCTGGTAGGGAAAGGTATCTCCATGAACCACCCACTTCCTGATGTGGGCCTGTTTCTTCTTAGCAACCAACAGATGCATGGAAAAACGGCTTCTCTGAAGAGCCCTGTGTCCTGCACAGAGAAGCTAGACGGGGTTCAGGCACCCCTGAACTCCAGGTGAGGCTCCGCCAAATCAGATATACATGTGGGGGAAGGTGAGCCCTTGGGAGGCGACCTGTTAGAAAAGGAACCTTAAGGCTGAGTCAGGGCATTAAGTCTAGCACAGGCCTCCCAGGGCCTCTTCCTCCTACTCCCAGGCCTGTCTCAGTGCACTGGGACCTAGCAGAGTCCAGGCTTCTCAGGTTACCAGCCTCCTCCACTGCCCACCTGTCCTCAGGCCAACTTGGCTAGGACAAAGGTTTGTGCTTCAGCACCACCCTTTTCCCCAGCCTCCGTAGCCTTGTCAGGTCAGAGGAGTCTGCTGAGTCCTCACTGCTGAGCTCCGGGCTGCCTACTGGGAGGAGGCTGCTAGGGGGGCAGTCCTGCCGGGAGCATGGCCCATGGCCAGGCCCGGGAGACGTGAGTCTGACACCTCCATCTCACCCACTCCCCAAACTGGCCCTCATCCCCGTGCCTCCTGCTTGTTTATTCTTGGGTCTGCTCCTTTGCTTACCCCTGAGAAATGGGGAAGGGTTTTTGACACCCAGGGGTAGGCATCTCTTGAGCATCTCCTGGAGATCTAGGCTCAGGCTGAGCATACCTCCTGGAGGGGTGGGGGCCCGCTGCTCACAGCTGTCTGGGAGGAGGGGTCGCTGCGACCCCTCTGTGTGGCCCTTCTTCATGCATCCAGTAGTGCCCTTTCCCAGGGTTGAGCTGTTCGCTCACTGTGCTTATCACTGAGTCGGGGCTCCTGGAGGACACCCCTCCAGTCTCTGCTCCAAGCTTCTGGCTTGAAGCTAGCGCAGAATTGGCCCTGAGGATACATGGGCAGGACTTGAGGGTTCCTCGTTCCTGGAATGGAATGTCTCCTTTGCAGTCTGCAGTGCCCACAAGGCTTGAAGGGCGAAGAGATAACGAAGTGCAGCCGAGAAGGGGTAAGTATGTGGAGGCTGACTTCTTGCTGCACAGCAAGGGAGGGGCCCTGGGCTGCCTGAATTCAGCGATTGTTGGCTCCTTGGCCACCAGGAAACATGAGTGGGTGACCCCTCCTGGGTGGGAGTGGTGTGTCCCCCTCCAGTCATAGACTATCCGTCAGGACCCAGCATTACCAGGCGACAAGCTGTGCTCAGAACTCAGCCCTCTCCACCCACTGGCTGTTTATCTGCTGCTTCATGCTAAGTCCCCAGAGTCCCATGGCGTTATTTCCTGGTGGCTGGATCAGGGCCCCTTTGGTGGTCTGATCTCCCAGGACTTCTCAGCCCCAGCCCGTGTGTTTGCAGACACTACTGAGTAAATACAACCAGCAGTACCACAAGCTGTTCAAGGACATCCCCTTGGAGGAGGTGGTTCTCAAAGGTGAGCTGTCTCCCTGGCCTGGCGTGCCTGGACAGGTACCTGTGGTGCCCAAGGCCCAGGTCCTGTCCTCGAGCCTCCAAGGTGCGATTTAGAAATGTGAACAGGCTGCCCTTTGGATGTGGCTGGTCCTTTTTTCTTCAAAAGTGTGAGAAGACTGGGCTGGTTTGGGATATGAAGCTGAATTTGTGAAGGTTTTCTCCAGGAAATGTTATTTCTGTACTGCTCTTATCAGTGACTATTCTTTCCTGCTGAGGCCTCTCACTGAGAATGTGGGAGCCTTTGCACAATCAAGGCCCCCCCTGCAGGGCAGGGATTCTGCCTGAAGGCGTGAGAATCCAGGCTTGGGGGACCAGGGCAGACACCTGCCTGGACCCTTTGGGGCATGGATGGAGAAGCAGGAAACATTTTGTAGTCTGCCGCGGTGGGCTTGGGGCAGTCAGGATTCTCTGGAAAGGACTTGGGGTGCTGGGGTGGGTTGTTTGAGAAGTAGGGTTCTGAGGAAGACAGCCCCTGAGGCTTGACTCTGGACTCCTGCGTGTGAGGAACCAGGCCCTGGGGCTGCCCAGGTGACCTTGCTCATGGCAGTGTTCTCTCCTGTGACTTCCCAGTGTGCTCCTGTGCTCTCCAGAGGGACCTCCTTCTCCAGGGCCGGCTCTACATCTCCCCCAACTGGCTCTGCTTCCACGCCAGCCTCTTTGGCAAGGATATCAAGGTAGTAATGAGTGGTAAGGGCTGCCACAGCCCAGCGAGGCCCCAGCCCCAACCCCAACCCAGGGAAGAGACAGCCCCCTACCCCGTGAGCATGCCTGAGTCACACCTGCCCCTCTGCCCGCTGGTTGAGGCCGCTCACTGGTTGGAGGAGTAGCTGTGAGGCACCCCGTCCGGTGTCAACACTGCCCCTTCCAAAACAGGGGCCTCAACTGTAGGCTCTACATCTGGCCTGAGTTGGCCTGAGCAGCTCACAGCCAAATTATTCTGCCTCCGAAATGCCTTCAGAATCAGAGTGAGACGTCACAATTAGGGGGAGCCATAAGTGTGGTCAGGAGGTAGGTCGAGGCACCCCATTACTAGAGGATGGGATTCACAGAGAAACCTTGGCCTCCTGCATAACAGGGTGAAAGCCTGGAGTGGCGTGTGCTGCTGAGGCTGGCAGGATGGTGGGGATAACAGGAAGGGGAGCCTGCGTGCGAAGGGCGAGGTTCTGGTACTCCCCAACGTGGGGCCAGGCTTCTCTATGGAGCCCGGGCTTGGCTCACTACACGCTGGGGCTGGGGCCCTGTGCCAGGAGCAAAGGGACCGCGTCTTTGGAAATGAGCCCTGACTGAAGCACGCCTCTCCCCCCTCAGGTAGTCATTCCTTTGGTGTCTGTGCAAATGATCAAAAAACACAGATTGGCACGGCTCCTTCCCAATGGCCTGGCCGTCACCACCAACACCAACCAGAAGGTCAGTGACTCTGGACCACACTTCCTGGTCAGGATCCCCGTCCCAGCCCCAGGAGCCCACTGCTTGACTCCGGCTTACTCCTAAGTCTTTACTTACCTCACCTCTGTCTGTTTTCTTTCCATGTCACAGTATATTTTCGTGTCACTGATGTCCCGGGACAGTGTATATGACATGCTGAGGAGGGTCTGCACTCACCTACAGGTATGCAGCTCGGGTAGGAGGTAGGCCAGGCAGGCTGATCAGGCCTGGACTGAGGTCTCGGCTGTTGGGGGATGGCGGCCCATCTCCTCATCACGGGAAACGAGCAGGGAGAGGGGAGTAACGGGCTCAGGCTGAGGGTGTCAGAGGCTGTCCTTGGACTGTGTGTCTGCATTGGCTAGCATGTCTCTTAGAGGTCAGTGGGCCATTGTGTCCCCATGTATCTGCCCTCACTTGTGCTTCCTCAACGTAAGACAGACAGAAGCGTGGGGCTGCTTCCCAGGGTGCCTGCAGCTCTCTCGGGCCTGTGGTGAGGCAGGGGGAGGGGCAGCAGCATGGGAAAGTAGGTTGCCTTGGACTTGACCCTCTGCTCCAGCATTAAACAGGGCACCCCCGCAAACTCTGAGAACTAGGCTCCCTCTGACCCAGAATGGAGGTCAAGCTCCTTTAGAGAATGCTGACACCTCCCTATGCCTGACCTTGGCTGTTCGAAATGGACAAGTGACCCCTGTTCTCTTTCCTCATCAGCCTTCCAGCAAGAAGAGTCTGAGTGTAAGAGAATTTCCAGAGGAACCCGAGTGCGAGTCTTTGGTGAGAACTGGGGCTGGGAGCAAGAGCTGCTGGCCTGAGATGGCTCGTGGCTCTGAGGCTTCAGGGCCTCCCAGGCAGGGGTCCACCATGCAGCACTGAGGTGCCAGGCTCCCAAGCCTGTGGCCATGCTGCTTCCGGGGGTCTCCCAGATCCGCCACACTCCATACCATGCAAACCCACCAGGTCCTGGGAGATCTGCTGACTTTATGAGAAGAACAGATGTCCAGCCCCCCGAACACTGTCCAGGTTGGATCCCGCACCCGTACGGGCACAGAGCCACTGACCCAGCCTCTTCCCTTCAGCAGAGTTCCTTTAAGGGGGCAGAGACATCCCAGGAGAAGAACTCCAAAGGCAATTAAATAGATCCCAGACAGACTCACTTTAGATTTGCCACTGTCCCAGCAGTTTCCTTGGCAGCTGGGCTTTTGGGTAGGCAGAGCTGAGTTTCTAGAGTAGGGATGGAGGATAGAAATGACTCCAGGGTGTCGGAAGCCTCCTTCGGGAACGATTATGCGATTAGCCAAGCATGCAGTATGCACAATACCATGTAGGGAGATAGTAGGCGATGTTCCCATTTTTGTGGGTGGCGAACTTAAGTGCCCCCTGCCAAGATCAGTGACGCGACAGGGTTAGAGCCTAGATTAGAAGGAGTCATGACTTATCCCATCTAAGACAGGTTGTGCTGAGCTTTCTTGGAATCAGCTTATCTGAGCACATATCTGGGTTGGCTCCCGTCTTGGACCCCATGGTGGTTCTACACTAGCAATCTTCAGAGATGTTGTTCCCTAGAGGAGGAGCTAATCCTGGCAAGGGAACAAATAGGAGAGACACTTGGTGGCTCTGGCAATGGTTTCCCCCCCTCAGGCACCTGCTTCCATGCCTTGCTCGGCATCCGTGTTGGGACTATGTGGAGAAAGCTTTGTTAAACCTGGTATGGGCCCCTAAAGGTGAGTAGGATCCCAAGGGTGGTGGTGAGACAGCTTTCCTGCCTTCTCTGCAGGAAGTCCTCATCCCTGAGATGAAGTGGAGAAAAGTGTGCCCTGCCTCCAGATCCCTGTCCCTCCAAGCCAACATCCCTTGTATCCCTCGGACATCCATGGACTCCATGGAAGGCTTCTTCCCTTCCAGGAAACTTCCAGGGCCTGGTGAGTTCAGGGGGCTTGTCCATGACAACTGCGTGCAAATACCAGGCTTTTCATTCACCCACCTCTGTGGAAAGGGATCACCCCAGCCAGCAGGGCTCCTGAGAGCTGTTTCTTTCTCTCTCCAAATCCGTAAGGAACAGCCAAGGGCCCAAGCAGCTTTAGATAATGGCGGGAGGTGGGCATGCCCTGCCTTGCGCTGGGCTGGGGTCCTGCCTGCCCCCAGGAAGATGCCTGACCGCCTTCTAATTGCAGAGGATGCTGTCTGTGAGGAGACACTGGAGGAGGAGCCCAGGGGTGATGAGGAGTGGAGGCTGTGGGATTACTGGCTCCTCAAGGTCTTCTTTGTGCTGTAGGTGACTGGAGTGGGGGAGGGGCAGACTGCCTGGGTATCAGGGCGTTTGGAACAGGGGCCTTGGTGTTTGGGGAGGTCACTGTCCAGAGTGAGGGGAACATTCTGAGTCAACTGCAAGCTCCTGGGTGGTGTCTGGAAGCCACATGGCAGGCCTTTCTGCACTGAGACAAAGTATCTCCAGTTTTTATTTTAACAACTCTGTAATTTGGGGTTAAGGCTATGTGATGAGGAGAGGCAGGATATGAAAATGTTGAGAAAATGAAGGGTTGCACAGGACTGGGGAGGGCCAGCAAAATTGGAGAGGACCATCAGATGGATTAGGGGAGAGCCATGACCTTCCTGCTGCCCACCGTTAGGGCAGTTTCTGGGGCCCCAGACTTGTCTAACTTGGCCCGAGGACCAGTGGATAGAGCATAGTGGATTGTTAATGAACAGCCAGCCCCTGGCTTCCTCTCCCCTCACCTCACCTCATCACTTTTCCTCTGGGTCTGCTGGCTGGGTTTTGACTGCAGATCTCAGCACTTGCTGGGGGAATGGGCCTACTGCCTTAGGGGTTAATCTCTCCCAGGGGAGGTGCCAGACCAAGGTGGCTGGTCAGAGGGAAGGTGGGCTCAGCTGAAGAACCCAGAACTCCTGCTGGGCTTCAAGGACACCCCCATGGAGATGAGTCTCAGGACCCCCACGTGGCCTTTGGGATGAAAGATGCCTAGGCTCGAACATGGCTGGCTGCAGGGCGGAGGGTTCTTTAATTCCTCCAGTTGCAGGAGTAGCTTAGTTCCCACTGCTACTTTTGGGGAGCCTCTAAAAATGCCCTTTTCTGCAAGGGAGATTCAACTCCTCTTGTCCCCTTTTCTCCAGGATCTGCCTCTTGGTCATGTCCTCGTCCTACCTGGCATTCCGCATCTCCCAGCTGGAACAGCAGTTATGCTCCCTGAGTTGGGATGGCCCAGCCCCTGGGCACAGGTGATGCCTTTTCTCTTCCCAATGCCTCTGGGACCCAGGGCTAAGGACAGGGACCAAAACCTACAACCAGGCTGCTTGTTGTCCTGGCTGGACTTGGCCCTGCCCTTGACACGCTGGCTTGATGGACCTCAGTAAGGTCCGGCAGAGTGTGCAGGGTACCCAGATCCCACCCTGACCCACTCTGAATGGGGGAATGGCTTCACTGACCCGTCAGGCCCTTTCTCTGATCTGGGTATCTCTTCTGTGTGCAGGTAACAGCCACTGGGCCTTTGCATCCATTCCTCCAAGAAGAATGCTCTGGGTGCTAGGTTCCGTCAACAGCCCTGTTGGATTTATGCTGCTGCTATGCTGGGACTGACTAGGAAGGAAAATATTCCAGATTCCTCCTCCTCCCCCAACTCTTCTCCCTCTTCCAATGAGTGGTCTGAAGTACCTGTTTACAAAGCTCCTACAATTTTTGGACTCGGACAAAAAGCCAGGTTTTTGGAACCAGCTGAGGAATTCTGTACACTAAGCTTCAGCAACCACTTAAATGAAAAAAATAATAACTTGCTCCTTGGAAACAGTTTTGGCGCACCGGCAGAGCACGAGGGGCCGCTCCAAGAGACAAAGGCCATGGAACGCAGCTCTCTGACTGTCACATGGCTCACTCCGGTGGTGCAGTGGTGGGACAGAGGCCAGAACCCAAACCACCAGTGTGGGCTCTGCACTCCCACTGTGTGCTGAGAGTCTCTGTTCTGGGGCCCACAGGGCTTCTCTGCAGGGATCCGGGCACCTACCTGTCAGGCCAAGGGTAGACTAGAGGGGGGTGGGGAGTAAGCTATGAATGAGGCGAGGAGGGCTTGTGGCCAGCATTCTAGCAAGAGAGGAGTATTCAGGCTCTGTGCTGAGGCTCTGTTCCAGCCCCATATGAGGAGGCTGGCTGAACCTGAGAGGACACTTCTGCAGCAGGGGACAGTGGTGAGGGCTGTGAAGAAGAACAGAGGCCTAGCATTCCATATCCTCAGCTACCATTTCCTAGTGAAACAGGGAGCAGGGACTTTGATCACAGACGGGTACTGCGTCTCTCCCTGGTGTGCTCAAACGTTTCCAAGGTGCCACAGGTGGAAAGTAGGTGTGACAAGGATGGTGGCTTTGATCTGAGGTCTTGCTTTGTACTCCCTGCCTGACTGCCTAGATCTCAGATATGGCCGACAGCAGCCGGCCAGGGGGCATGGCTGGGTAGCTAAGCATGATGATGTTGGGCCACCATAGGGCAGGGTTCACTCCTGTCACCTGCAGCTATTCCATGGGCTCTGTTCTCCATGAAGAAGGTGGGGATGTCCAAAGTGGGTCTGGTACAGTGCAGGACCAAGCCGGGGGGTCTGTCTGATACCTCTGGGGACAGGAGAGGAGAGGTAGGAGGTTGGAAGAGTAGACACAGTGGTGGCTTCGCTGTAGAGATTCCTCCTTCTCTGTCAAGGTCTTCTCTATTCTGAAAAGCTTTTCCATGCCTCAGAACTCTGGCCTGCCATACCTGGGATTCCTGTCTGCTAAGACAGTGCCTTTGGAGGTTCTGAAAGAACCTAGTGAGGAGGCCAGTGGTATCAGGGAAAGGCACTCACGATGGGGTGGATGGTGTCAGAATAGCGACTGTTTTCCCCTCTTCAGACAACTGAGAGGTTAAGCAGGGAGAAATCCAGGTAGAAATAATTGATCATGGAGCCATGATTGTCCTGTTTATGACAAAACCCAAAAGAGGATTGGGGGGACTGACAGTTGGTGACAACACCCTAAGCTCAGACTGGGGGTATCTTCATCCTCTCCCCATGCCAGGTTCCAGGGTTACATTTAGAGCCTGGCCTTGTGGGTTGCTTGCGCCAAATCTGTATGTCTCAGGTGAAACTCACTGTTCTGTTCTCCCTACAGTGCCACACTGGATGAGTACCCATCCTTTTTGGGAGCCAGTCCCCTTCATTATTCCTTTCCATCATATTTCCAGGGAAATAATCCTCCTTGCCCCAGTGCCTCCCATCCCTGGTCCTTGCTAAAGAGTAGGGAGAACAGACCCATTCTCTGAGCCTTGCTAAGTTGAACCAGAGGCCAGGAGAGGTGCCAAGTCATAGGTGACTGTGCCAAATGCTGATGAATGCAGTGTCCAGCCATGCCCCAGCCTCGGAAAGGACAGGAGGCAGCTGTAGGGCCGGTGGCTTTGGAAGCCCTCTTAGGGTCCAGAGCTTTGAGTGGTACAGGTGTGCCTGTCCCTCTGGAGGGCCTGCTCTCTGTTTCCCCCTTTTGTCCCCCAGCCTGGTCCTCTGGGGCCAGTGTGCCTTCTGCTGTGCTCATTTATAAACTATGTGTATTTATTCAGACCTGCTTGCATTGGCTGATGCTCCTCTAATTCCCTGAGAATTTGGTTCAACTATCCTTGGGTTGTTCCACTATGGCATTAGCCTTTGAAAATATTTTTAAATAAAAAAGCAATTTTTCTATTGTCCTATGGTATGAAGAGTCCATTGTTACCTTTTGACTACTCACTTAAGGTACTCTTACTTACATATCTGGCACCAAGGAGACTGATGGTGCCCAAGGCATTCCCAGAATCCCAAGTATTCTGCAAATCTCACAGGACTTTGGCTGAGCTGACTCATACTTCAGGCATATGGCAAAGGGGAAGGATGGCCACAGCAAACCACCACAGCCTTCTGTCTCTGTTGGGGGGACACTGAGAATGCTTCTCCTGGGCATGCTAACACATTGTCTCTGGCTTTAACAGTACTGTGCTTCTGATTCAGGAAATAAAGTCCAGAGCTCAGCACCAGAAAACCCCTGTAACCTTTTCTATGACACCAAGCCTAGATGATCAGACAGGTTAAATTCCAGTTTGGGCCACATCACCTTGATTTCTCCCTAGATGCCCTCTCTAGTAGGGATTCATTCATTCAGTAAATATTGGTCCCAGACTATGTGCCAGGCACTAAGCTAGGCACTGGGGCTGTAGCAGTGACCATGTCAGCTGGCATCTCTGCATCTCCATGGCACTTGGGTTCCATGTTAACGTAAGAGCCAAGTAAATATGTAAACAAACAAGGTAATTGCAGCTTGTGATTAAGTTCTATGAAGGAAAGAAACAGTAATAGGGGATAAATAGGGAGATGGCTTTAGATGGGTAGTCAAGAAAGGTTCTCTGAAGTGACATTTAAGCTGGTGCCTACAGGATGAGGACCTAGTCATGGGGAACAGCCAGGAAAAGAGTCTTCCTGGCAAATGGATCAGCAACTGCGAAAAGTAGGAAAGAGTGCCTAGTATATCTCCAAGGAACAGAGAGACTGTCTGCATGACTTGATACTAACCGAGTGGGAGACTGGCATGAAAAAAGGTCGAAGAAGTCAACTTGACAAGAGCAACTTTACCTATTTAAAAATTGGTAAAGGACTTGAGTAGACATTTCTCCAAAAAAGATATATGAATGGCAAATGAGCACATGAAAAGATGCTCAACATCACTAATCATTAGGGAAATGCAAATCAAAGCCACAACCAAATCCACCTCACACCCATTAGGATGGCTACTATCAAAGAAACAGAGAACAAGTGTTGGTGAGGATGTGGAGACACTGCAACCCTTATGTTCTGTAGGTGGAAATGTAAAATGGTGCAGCCTCTGTGGAAACAGTATAGCAATTCTTCAAAAAATTAAAAATAGAACTATCATATGATCTGGTAATCCCACTTCTGGGTATATACCCCAGAGAATTGAAAACAGAGTCTCACAGAGCTATCTGTACACCCATGTTCATAGCAGCATTATTCGCAATAGTCAAAAGGTGGAAGTAACCCAAGTGTCTATTGACAGATAAATGGATAAACAAATGTGGTATAAACATACAATGGAATATTATTCAGCCTTAAAAAGGATGGACATTCCATCATATGCTACAACATGGATAAACCTTGAGGACATTATGCTAAATGAAATAAGCCAGACAGAGACAGATACTGTATGATTCCACTAATATGAGGTACCTAGGGTAATCAAACTCATAGAGACAGAAAGTAGAATAGAGGTTGCCAGGGTCTGAGGAGGGGCATGGATAATTATTGTTTAACAGGTATAGAGTTTCAGTTTTGCAAGATTAAATGAGTTCTGGAGATGGGCGGTAGTGATTGTTGCACAACAGCATGAATGTACTTCACACCATGGAACTATGCACTTAAAAAATGGTTAAGACAGGAAGCCCTACATTTAAGGACATACAGAAGAAGCCACCTCGAGACTGGTAGGAGGGTTGGAGTCACTGAATGGGCTGGTTCTACACCCACAAGTGACCATTAAAAATGGGGATATCTCGGCTGCAGAGGTTCCCTCCTGGAGGAGCAAGGAGTCCCAGCCCCATAGCAGGCTCCCCAGCCCAGTGTTCAAGTGCTGGGGAGAGAAGTCCCCATAACTTATGGCTGTGAAAACCAGAGGAGATTGTGGCTGAGTGAAACTAGGGCAGCTGCAGTCCCAGGCATTCCTAATAAAATGCCCATGCATGGACTTACTTGCTGAAGGACTGACTTGTTCTGGTCTCTGGTGCTGGGGCTATGGCTCGGGGGGCGGAGGGGGG